ATGTTTTTAAGGCGACGCCTTACCGCCTTAGGGAGGGGGGGCGCTTTGGCGCCTAGGCGACGCCTAGGCGGGCGCTTTGGACGCCTAGGCGCCCAAAGCGGTCGATTTTCCAAAGCGGAGGGGGAGCGCTTCGACGCCTAGGCGTCGCCTAGGCGTCGCCTTAGGGACGCTTTAAAAACATAGCTCAACACTATACAACAAACAATGTTTGATCTTATATTCTTCACCAGATAATATCAGCAGAATCATAAGCCCCAACTCTAAACAACAAACAATGTTTGATCTTATACTTTGAGAGTTCGATCCTAAATATCAAGTAAAAGATTGCCTTCATGCATCAAAGGCATACATTCGGATTCATAAATCTCATCATCAAACATATAACGATCCTGAATGCAGAGCACAAGTTTACCATCTGTAATTATGGATACAGATTATATCTTAGGTTCATACATACAACTACATTGTTCTTTTTACTTAACCTGCTGTAACCAACATTGTTCTTTTTACAGACTACTAAGAATCATATCCCGCAAAAAAAAGACTACTAAGAGTCATCAGGATAGCTCATCTGATAAATGGTTAGGCTACAAAAATGGCAGAAACCTTGATTGGGGTTTGGGTGTAGGTAAACAAGCATAAATTACTAACATAGTATATCAACATAATTTGAAAATGAGTACCAAGTAGCCAGTAAGTATCAATTCTTACATGACAAGCTAAAAGAACGACCGAGTAACTCACCTTGTCATTTCTCTTATAGGCCCTCTTGAGCTGAAGCATGACACGGACAAGCAGCAGCCGACCAATCTCAGGGAACTTGGTATTGACAACCGCAACCAGCGCGGCAAACACATCTGTAAACCCAGGTGAAGCCATCTGCGACTTTATGCAAGACTGGCAGAAGAGGCCCCGCCCGCGAACCAGGTTCTCGGCCAACAGCTCCGGCACAAGATTCTTGATATTGGTGGCATTCACCTTGTTGACCAGCCCATTGATGCTCTTCTTGAGAGCATCCCACGTGAGCCTCTGGTACTCGGGGCTCGCCTTGTCCTCCACATCCCGCAGCATCTGCGCCATGCGGAAAGGCGGGATGTAGATCCCTCCCGTGCGGCCAGGGATCATCTCGGGCAGCGGCGGCGGGGGTGGCAGCGGTGGCGTCGGCTCCTTCCTCTCGGGGCTTGCCCGGCGCTCCTCACGGCCACGGTCCTCCACCCGCCTCCTAGAGCCCTCATCACGGCGGTGCCGCCTCCGGCGGTCGTCGGGGGAGGACCCCGACTCGGAGCTGGGGCTCCGGCGGCGGCGCCGCCGGTCCCGGTCGCGCTTGCTGCCGTGACGGTCGTCCCTCCCGTCGTCGGAATCCCTGGGGCGCCTCCGCCGGCGGTCGCCCTCCTTCTCGTCGTCGGAAGCCCCAGGCCGCCTCGCCCGGCGGCCGTCCTCCTCCTCCCCGTCGGAAACCCTAGCGCGCGACCGCGGGGGGTCGTCGGCCTTGCTGGGCTTGGCGACCCCGTTGCCCTCCGACGGGTTGGGGTCGTGGCGGCGGCGGCGGTCGGCATCACGGTCGGGCGGGGAAGCCCTAGATCTGCGGCGGCGGCGGTCGGCGTCGCGGTCGGGGGAGGGGGAACGCGACGGGGACGGCGACGGGCGGGGCTTGCGGTGGTCGCCGCGGCGCGGGGAGTCGTCGCGGTGCCGGCGGCGGCGGGGCGGCGAGGCGGCGGGCGAGGCGGAGGCGGAGGCGGCCATCGCGCGATGTCCAATCCCCTAGGATTCTAGCGAGGGGAGCGGGGTTGGGTTTTCTTTTCCGTCGGGTGATACTGATAGCCGATACCGAATTACCGACTCCGTCTGCTCTCACGTTTAAAGGCCTATTCGGTTTACAGAATTTTTAAATCGAAATAATAGTAGGCAAAATAACATTGATGCTATAGAACTGACACCAGATTTTTAAGCAATTCGAGCCAACGGCCTTAGTCATGTCGGATCCTACGGACTAATTCTAATAAAGTGTTCGCTTCCACGTACCCTTCTGAATGAACTACGAAGTTCACGACAAAAATAGTTCGCTCCGGATAACAATATGAGTGAACATTTTCAGGGTGAAAATTTTAGTTTTTAGAGCATGACAATTTTCACCTTTTTGGATTAATGTAGCATGGCGGTTCTTTTTAGCCAGCATGGCAATTTCTGAAAGGCAATTCTTATTTTAGAACATGGTAATTCCCTATAAGTTATCCGTTCCATATGGCAATTCTAAAGTGATCGTTGGGGGTTAAAAAAAATCAGCGAATGAATCCGTTCTCTCTCTAGAGGAACGATCGTTAACTCAGATCACCCCTTTGAGCGGGCATCAGATGTATATTAGCGTCCATGACCTAGACGTTGTAGAATTGAAATGCCTTCTTCACTTCAATCTTTAAAAACTTCTCGTGAGATCAGGTCTAATGCTAAGAGCCCTTATAAATTAGGTCAATGTGAACACAATCCTGAAAATTCTATTATCCTATTACGTTTCTATGGAACAAATGACATACCCAGAAGATAATCCCGTAGGAAGAAATCATATGGGAATCCCGATTCTACTAATCAAATTAGCCCTAAATGTTTCAAAAAGGTTTCATTTTTTTTACAAATGTTCACAGTAAACGTGTCTATAATCCCTAAAAGTTCATATCAAAATTTAAATACTCATATAAAAAGAAAAATGACAAATCCATAGTTGATTAGTGTCACTTTGCTTTTGTCTTTTTTACACTATTCATGCTAGATTTGAGGGGCAAGATTGTGATGTTGCAGAAGAAACTGATTTGTCACCCGAAAAGCTAGTCAAGGGGTCAAATTGTATATAACGTCAACATAATGCATCATCTAACCATAGCAGTGATTGTCGACGCCAACTTATGACACCTTAGTGGCCGTAAACAACCACATGTGTTTATCAATTTTTTAGTTGTGACCAAACTTTTCGTCCTCACTTGGATTGTTGCCAACCTTTTAGCATGTCGGTGGCTCCTACCAATTATAGTTTATTTGTGTAGGGAAAATTGGCCAACTCTTGGAGTACATAAAACATTGATCCAAATTTTGGCTACCCAAAATTTTGGTGGTGCAACCTTGGGCTCAAATCAAACGCACCTTGAATTTCTCACGCAACCCAGGTGGGACCTTTGGGACCGCTTGGATTTGATCACCGGATGCAAGACAAGATGAATACCACCGGAATCTAATATAGAGTGGCTGAGTGGGTTTTTTATGTAGACTACAGGCATTGAGTGCTCACGCTCTATGATTTCAGTGGATATAACAACAAAAATTGAAGTAGACGATGCAACTAAGTTAAAATTTCATGTGGTATCTTTGCCGATGTGTGGTTCTGGCAAAAGACAACCTTACTCGATGAAGTTGACAAGGAAGCAAGAAGTGTTGTTTCTGTCATTGATGAGACAATTAAATAGCTTTTCTTTTTAGAAGTGTTGTTTCTGTCATATTGATGACAATGAAGAAAGAAGTGTTGGCACGATCTACAACAAAACTCCAAACAAGAAAAATGTATACAACAAAACTCCAAAAATCCAAGCCCTTTTCTTTTATAACCGTCAACTTCAAATCTCCAAAATGGACCAAGACCAGTGTACAAAAAAAAGTGAATTGCATTACTAAAAAATACTCCTTGTCAACTGCTTGTTGCCCAGAAGAGAGTTTGCTGTCCTAAGGGAATGGAGGCCTTGTGGTAATCAACATCATGGTACATAATCAAGCATTGGTTCTAAAATTCCTTGATAAATTTTTCAACCATGCAAACATTCAGTGGTTAACTTGCTTTGGGAATCATACACGTTGGGCTCATACCACATGCTGAAAAACCTTGTGGTTCGTTCTGAATTTCTGAACAGTACGCATGCCTATACTCCTACACCAAATCTGAAGATATTTGGGTCCAGAGCTTTTATTCCTTAGATGACCCAAGCCTTCTCTTCAATTTGCCACCATCTCCTCAAGCTCACGCTGAATATGTAAGCCTCATGATTAGCAAACCTTCCAGCATGGAGTTAAGTGATTTGGACACCTTGGTCATTTCCATGGGGATCGGGCTATTCGGCAAAAAATATAAAAAAAAAAAATCTATATGTACTATCACAGAGAAATCACTTGCCAGGAGCCGTTCAAATGGATTTGGAAATCCAAGTTACAAATGAAGCTCAAGGTCTATTACTTTTTGACAGGCTGAACACTGGGAATATGCTCAAAAGAAGACACTATCAGATTGGCAATGAGTAATGAGTTCAGATATGTCCTATCAGATTGGCAATAGCCATGCTCTACTTTTTGAGCATTTGATATTCAACTGCACTTTCAGTAAAAACTGTTGGGCCAGAATGGGAATCCAGTGATACCTCTTGATGCTCCAGGAATGAGGCAGTGTAAAGGGCTAAACAAAACCATTCTGGAAAACAGTTTTTTGAGATCTTCACTGTTACTGCTTGGAACATTTGGAAGGAGAGGGAAAAATCAATTACATTTTCAACCACATAAATCCTTCCAGTAGAGCATGGTTAGAAATAACAAAGGCTGATCTCACTTGCTAAAATATAGAGTATCCTCTGATCTCAGTGATTTCATCACTTCTTTTCTCAACTACCTCTAGTTCCTGCTTTGTTGGCAAATCTCTGAACCAATGTGAGGATACATATCCCACACTCATTCTATTAAAATTTAATATAGCATAGTAGGAGCCCCTCCTACTATTTCAAAGTCTAAAAAATTATAATCAGATAGTATTTCAATACAACTGAGAACAGAGTACATTGTGGCAAGGCCCGCTGTCAGCAAGCAACCGAATGAACTGAAGCATGAACATTCTATTATTGGGTGGAGCAACAAGCGGATATAAACCCCAGCAAGTAGGAGCAAACAATAAACCAAACAAAGCCTGGTCTTAAATGTGGAAGATGAGGCAGGAATAAACTTAGGTATCATCCTTCAGCAACCCCCGAGCTAGAGCATCAGGCTTTGATGGTCACGCTGCATAAGCATCGTCCCGACGGCCTGAGCTTTGACGTGCACCATTCAGAGCCTGTTGGCGCGGCAGGATCATACATCAGCGTCTGATACCCAGGTTCTTCCTCCAGTGAGAGGAGCAGCAGCTTCCCATCATGTGTCCCGAGAGAGAACCGCGTGCTGGAACTACCAGTAAGCGGCACTGGAACCTTCTTCCAGGAATTGTCTGCTGGGTCGAAAATCGCCAGAGACCTCTGGTTCTTCCACTCGATGCAGAAGAGCTTCTCACCAAGAACAGCATGAGCCGTGACCATTACACAGCCATTCCTAAACTCACCCCAGGCATGGCTATTTGTATCATACACGTCAATGTAACGGGAGTTACCAATTGTGAAGCTCGAACGGCCACCCATGACGTACATCTTGCCTTCAAAGCTACACCCAAAGCAACCCCATCTCGGCCTGCGAAGGCCCCCGATCAACGTCCATTTATTTTGTTCTGGGTCATAAACTTCGACACTTGATAAACTATCACCACTGGGACCAAATCCACCAGCAACATATATCACACCGTTGACCTCTGCACACGCGAAGTCGCAACGAGCGACATTCATCTTAGAAAGGGCGGTCCACCTGCGGAATCAGAGGATAAATGAGTTGGTCCAACATTCGATAAAATGTTGAGGACTTGAGTATTGTTCTGCATTTGAACACTGTACATATCACCAAGTTACTATTGTTAATTCATTCACATTATTTGAAAACACAAGGTCAAGCTTTAAAGTTTGTCAGACTAATAAGATGTACTTTATTTTTCTGATGCATGAGAATCCACAAGAAACATACCTGCTGAGGAAACAATCATACTGGTAAACCTCATCAGAAACACATTCCTTGCCATGGTCAGCAGCATAGCCAGCAATGACGATGAGCTTCCCGTCAAGGACAACCACACCAAACCCAGCTTTGGTTGGTCCAGGCATAAGCGGAAGAGGGGTGTTCTTTTGCCCCTGGCATCCCAAAACCTCCCAATGAGAACCCTTTGCTTGAGCATCAGCGGTCAAGACATACACACACTCGTCAAGCTTCTGAACCTCTTTCCTTACAGCAATTAATTCTTTGCTCTCTAGGAATGACATCCACCTCTTGGAAACTCCACCCATGACAGGGAAATGAGTTCGAGGAACAAGGGCAAGACATATCTTTGCCAGGTCTTCTGGCAAGCCAGGGATTAAAGCACAGTATTGATCGCAATCCCCTTGTGGCGTAAAGCAGAAGGAAAGTTTTGGCCTTGTTGGGGACTTGAGCTGCATTGTAGCACGCAGGAATGTCTGTGGTTGAACAAACTGTTCCCGTGTACCAACGATTGTAACCATTGCAAAATGTGGCAGCAAGCAGCTCAATGTTTGCCTCCCCTTCTTAGCCAATAGTACTGAAAACCTTTGGCTTATTTATGAACCTTAGTAGATACTATAAATAGCAATGGCTCGAATGGAACGATTCATGGAATCCGTCTCCTATGGGAATGGTAAGAGACAAGGGTTTGAATGATGCTGAAATGATGTTCTTCAACTTTGATGTCTCTGTTTTAGTTATTCTTGCTGTATCAGCCATCCGATGAGAATTTTTGGAATTGTTTTCCCTGATTGAATCAGCACTTGTCTCCTTATTGATAAAGTAGAAACCGTTTCCTCCCTTGCGCATTGCCTTAATATCTATATCCACAGAACATAAATATTAAAATATCAGCTAAATTTGCAGTCAAAGTTGCTAGGAACAAACAGGCGTAAGATATATATATACCTTTGGCCATATAATCGTTTTACTATTAGCCGGCAGTAGTGTCCATCTCTGCGAGTCTAATTGCCTGCAGTCAGCATACAAAATGATTTAGCACCAAGTAGGAACTGTAGAAGCAATCCTGTGATACTGTTTGGGCAACTCCAAAGTAACACCAGTAAAACAACATAACAGAATATTCTTTACAGCAGCTTTGTTTAATATTAGTCACTAGAGAATGGAAAGGAACACAAACTGTCAAACTCCGCCTTTTAACAACAAAAGCAGTTTTTCTATGACATCCACAGTGTGAGGAGTGTCTCCAATTTTAAAATTGATGTGAACATGTCAATGCTGTCATGATCTTCATATGAGCAATTGCTTAAAACACATATGCTCTGCAGGTGAAATGGACATCTAATTATAGGAGACACAAGAAATTCCTGAGGCTCGACACTACCAACAGACAGCAAATATGGAGTATGCCATCGTCGTGTACCGTAAACAATTAGCTGTTCCTAGCATGAGAGGAACTACGGATCAGTTATAACTCATAAGGTCCCGTGGCAGAAACAATGTCGAAATGATTATTGCTGGAACCAATTACTGTGTATAACAAGCTAGAAAAGCCATCTTTAGCAAGCAGCTGAAGCAAGTTATTGTGACCAACCAATTCACCTTACATACAAATAATAAAAGGATAGAGCAGAACTGATCCATATAATGAACTGAAACCCAATCAATCCTCTGAAAGAAGAAGGCAACCATTTAAACATAGACTGGCCAAATAAAATTTAACTTTGACACGGTAGGTACCCAAGCAAATCAAATCGTCAAGTTGGAACCAGTCTGAATCACTGAAGAACGAATCAAGTGTGAGGAAGTAATTCTCAAGAGTCAAACAACCAGAGGATACCACAGGTCGAAGCCCAGCGAACCTAAGGATTCAACTCTACTCTGAACAAGTTGACCATTAAATAAAGGATTATGGCCTCCAGGAAAACTGGAGCGGCTGACTTCAGATCTGCTTCAAATTTAGACGACATCGTAATACTAGTAATTAACCACTGAGAACATAAATGGATATGGGGATCTGAGACTCGACTACGACAGCAAACTGAAATCTTGGCGTAGGAATTAATACCGGAGCCAATCGGACAAGCAGAAATTGGGGCGAGTAGGCTGAGATTGCCCCTAGAAAATCCAATTTTTTGCAGGCTTCCCGAATCCGGGAAGAGCCCATCGATTCTGCGCCGGAGCGGGAGATGTGCAAGCAGATCAAACAGTAGATTCGAGCAAGAAGGATGTACTACCTGAAATGGAAAAAGGAGCCCAATCCGACGAGTCCCACCGAAGCTGTGGAAGGAGCAGCGGCAGCAGCTGCAGATTGGGCACACGAGGAGGAAATCGGGGGGATGATTGGGGAGGCGGTGGGTGGAACCGTGTGAGACTCAGACTAGGGCTTCGTCTAAAAAAGGTTTCTTTATAGGCGTGTGTAGATTAGATGGCATGGGGATGACGCGCTTGTGGAAGGAAGCTCACACAAGCCGGGTGAACTCGGACAGTGAAAGATGCGATTCTACTGCTGGCTGTTCATCGCTAGCTTTTGGTTCCATCGCTCTCAGCGTCGGCAATTCTGGATAAATATTCACGCAGCTCAGATGGTCCGTTAAAACGTGGTGTGTACAGTAGTACTTCCTCCGTTCACAAATATTTGCTCGGTCCTAAATTACTTGTCTTAGTTTTTTTTAGATACAGACACTAAAACGTGTCTAGATATATCCGTATGTGGAAAAATCCAAGATAAAATGTTCAGGACCGAGGAAGTATAAGATGTTCTAATTTCTCTTTAATCGAAAATACTCCATCCGTTTCTTTTTACTTTGCATATAAGATTTGGTCAAAGTCAAACTTTGTTAACTTTGACTAAGTTTATAAAAAAATATATCAAGATTCACGATATAAAATCAATATTGTTACATGCATCATGAAATTAACTTTCACACTATATAGCTTTAGTATTGTAGATGTTGATATTTTTTTCTATAAAACTGGTCAAACTTCTTTATAAAGTTTGACTTTGACCAAATCTTATATGCAGATTAAAAAAACGGAGGAAGTATATAGACACACTTTAGTGTGTTTATTTATTCATTTTAGTCTATATATGGTTCATATTGAAATAATCAAAACATCTTATATTTGTGAATGGAGTGAGTACAACATAAGGTTGTGGAATACAATATGCAGTACAAGGTTCTCTGCAGGCCAAAGAGTGTCTCCGAATTGTACTCTCCGAATGTCCGCGGATGCTTCATGTCCGTTCTTGAACACCGATACGGGAACCGGTCATCCAACCGCATGCATAATTGTCGGCCTCATTTCAAATGGAGAAGGACAGACAAGAGCGGAATTCATGCAAAATGAACGATATTAATTGAATTTCTAAATATTTTATAACCAAAAGGACGAAATTTAATGAAGTTCAACTAAACCCGATGAAATTTAAACTAAACTACACGATGTACTGGATGGTGTCCTAGTACGCATGGCAGCCTTGGCCGGTGACACCTCCGTTGTGATCCTTCCAGCGACGTAAGGCCACGTACAACCCTGATCAATCGCCACTGGGCTCGAGGCGCAGACAGTCGACTGCCTCTACTGTATGGTGCAGGCGCTTGGACGCATCTGAAGGAAATATGCCCTAGAGGCAATAATAAAGTTATTATTTATTTCCTTATATCATGATAAATGTTTATTATTCATGCTAGAATTGTATTAACTGGAAACATAATACATGTGTGAATACATAGACAAACTTAGTGTCACTAGTATGCCTCTACTTGACTAGCTCGTTAATCAAAGATGGTTATGTTTCCTAACCATGAACAAAGTGTTGTTATTTGATTAACGAGGTCACATCATTAGTTGAATGATCTGATTGACATGACCCATTCCATTAGCTTAGCACCCGATCGTTTAGTATGTTGCTATTGCTTTCTTCATGACTTATACATGTTCCTATAACTATGAGATTATGCAACTCCCGTTTATCGGAGGAACACTTTGGGTACTACCAAACGTCACAACGTAACTGGGTGATTATAAATGAGTACTACAGGTGTCTCCAAAGGTACATGTTGGGTTGGCGTATTTCGAGATTAGGATTTGTCATTCCGATTGTCGGAGAGGTATCTCTGGGCCCTCTCGGTAATGCACATCACATAAGCCTTGCAAGCATTACAACTAATATGTTAGTTGTGAGATGATGTATTACGGAACGAGTAAAGAGACTTGCCGGTAACGAGATTGAACTAGGTATTGGATACCGACGATCGAATCTCGGGCAAGTAACATACCGATGACAAAGGGAACAACGTATGTTGTTATGCGGTCTGACCGATAAAGATCTTCGTAGAATATGTAGGAGCCAATATGGGCATCCAGGTCCCGCTATTGGTTATTGACCGAAGACGTGTCTCGGTCATGTCTACATTGTTCTCGAACCCGTAGGGTCCGCACGCTTAAGGTTACGATGACAGTTATATTATGAGTTTATGCATTTTGATGTACCGAAGGTTGTTCGGAGTCCCGGATGTGATCACGGACATGATGAGGAGTCTCAAAATGGTCGAGACGTAAAGATTGATATATTGGAAGCCCTATGTTTGGATATCGAAAGTGTTGCGGGTGAAATCGGGATTTTACCGGAGTACCGGGAGGTTACCGGAACCCCCCGGGAGCTATATGGGCCTTAGTGGGCCTTGGTGAAAAAGAGAAGGGGCTGCCCTACATGGGCTGCGCGCCTCCCCCCTTCCCCTAGTCCCATTAGGACTAGGAGAGGTGGCCGGCCCCCCCTCTCTCTTTTCCCCCTCCGCGAATCCTATTCCAACTAGGATTGGGGGGGGGGGTCCTACTCCCAGAGGGAGTAGGACTCTCCTGGCGCGCCTCCTATGGCCGGCCAGCCTCCCCCCTCTAGTCCTTTATATACTGAGGCAGAGGCACCCCAGAAACACACAAGTTGATCCACGTGATCTATTCCTTAGCCGTGTGCGGTGCCCCCAGCCACCATATTCCTCGATAATACTGTAGCAGAGTTTAGGCGAAGCCCTGCAGCTGTAGTGCATCAAGATCGTCACCACGCCGTCGTGCTGACAGAACTCTTCCCGACACTTTGCTGGATCGGAGTCCGGGATCGTCATCGAGCTGAACGTGTGCTCGAACTCGGAGGTGCCGTAGTTTCGGTGCTTGATCGGTTGGATCGTGAAGACGTACGACTACTTCCTCTATGTCGTGTCAACGCTTCCGCAGTCGGTCTGCGTGGGTACGTAGACAACACTCTCCCCTCTCGTTGCTATGCATCACATGATCTTGCGTGTGCGTAGGAATTTTTTTGAAATTACTACGAAACCCAACAGTGGCATCCGAGCCTAGGTTATTTATGTTGATGTTATATGCACGAGTATAACACAAGTAAGTTGTGGGCGATATAAGTCATACTGCCTACCAACATGTCATACTTTGGTTCGGCGACATTGTTGGACGAGACGACCCGGACCAACATCACGCGTACGCTTACGCGAGACCGGTTCCCCCG